CAAAAGCAGAGATAGACAACTCATTTATTTGTCATAAAAATTTGTATATATTTCGAGTTACTTTTATTTTATAATGTAGCATGTTTGACTGCAACCCCTTTAAAATTTGTTATTTACGACATCTTATTCAAGTGTACTCTATAATATATTTCAGAAATGCAGAGATTACGAAAACTAACCATACCTCCAAAGTGTCCACAAGGTTTCAAGCCGAGCAGACATAGTTGTTATTTATTAGTTAAAAATGAAAAAACTAAGCGGAATGCTGCTCGTTACTGCAGACGTAAATCTTTTTCGCATCTGGTCAGAATTCAGAGTGAGGGTGAAATAGAAAGACTGACCGACTATCTCGAGAAAGGTGAGTAGGAACAAAACGTAGACAGGATGTGTATTTAAGTAATTGGTAATAATTGGTTGAATCATGGGTAATGATGAGTGGTTGAATTATATGTAATACGTGGTTGTAATGAGTGGTTGAATCGTGTGTTATAATTGGTTGAATCGTGTGTGTTATAAGTGGTTGAATCATGGATAATAAATGGTTGAATCATGTGTATTAAGTGGTTGAATCATGTGTGTGATAAGTGATTGAAGGTGGGCAATAAGTGGTTGAATCATATGTGTAATAAGTGGTTGAATCGTGGATAATAAAAAGTTAAATCTTGTGTAAAAAGTGGTTGAATTATGTGTAGTAAGTTGTTGAATCATGTGTGTAATAAGTGGTTGGATCATGAATAATAAGTGGTTGAATCATGTGTGTAATAAGTAGTTGAATCATGGATAATAAGTGGTTGAATTACGTGCAATAATTGACTGAATCATTGTTGAATCATGTGTGTAATTAGTAGTTGAATAATGTGTGTGTAATAAGTGGTTTATTCATGTGTGATAAGTGGTTGAATAATGTGTGCAAAAATTGGTTGAATAATGTGTGTAATTAGTGGTTGAATTATGCATGTAATAAATGGTTGAATCACGTGTGATAAGTGGTTGATTCAAGGGTAATGAGTAGTTGAATAATGTAGGATATGTGGTTGAATCATGTGTAGTTGCAGTTATCATATATTGTATGTGTGGTTAAATCATGTGGGATATGTGGTTGAATCATTGGTAATAAGTAGTTGAATCATGTAGGATTTTGTAGTTGTGTCATGTGGGATAGGCGGTTAAATCATGTGGAGTATGTTTTTGAATCATGTGTGATAAGTGGTTGTGTCTTGTGTAATAAAGTGGTTGAATCATGTGTGTTAAAAGTGGTTGAGTCATACGGGTGTTTGTAATAATACGTGACTGCACCATGCGTAATAAATGCGAAATATAAGGTTGAATAATGTGGAATATAAGTTTGAATCATGAGGGATATGTGGTTGAATCATGTGGAATATAATGTTGAATCTTGAGGGATAAGTGGTTGAATCATGAGGGATAAGTGGTTGAATCATGAAGGATAAGCGGTTGAATCATATGGAATATAAGGTTGAATCATGAGGGATATGTGATTGAATCATGTGGAATAAGTGGTTGAATCATGAGGGATAAGTGGTTGAATCATATGGAATATAAGGTTGAATCATGAGGGATAAGTGGTTGAATCATGTCTTTGTCTTTTTGATGATGTAGTAAAATAAAAGATATAGCCTGTACAAACGTTTCGTTTGTTTTTTTCTTCTTCAGAAAATGATGTTCCATCAACACTATATACAGTAGGGTATTTAAATGGTAGTTTGACGGCTGGTACGCTTGCTGGTGATGCTCATTGGGTATGGAGTAATTCAGAACCTATCAAATTTTCTCAGTGGAACAAACTAGGTCATCTGCCTGCAAACGATGTGTGGGACCGAACGGCGACTTGTGTGGTTTTAGTTAAAACGGAGAATGGATGGGTTCTGAAAAGTGAATACTGTAAAGAAAATAGAGCGTTTATATGTGAAAAACGAAAAGTGCGATCGAGTCGGCCGAGGAGAATAATACATTGAAATATCTTTTAATCAAGTGACTTTATGTGGAAAGGATTTGCACAAAAAAGGTTTATTATCAACCTTGCACAGCAAGTGTTGTGATATAGTATCACATGAAGCTGGGTGTAGAATTTTGGAGACGTCGTGTAAAGATAAAAGACTTCAGCCCGGTGATAACGTGTTATTTACATTGTGATGATTGTTAATAATAATTGTGATATTATTATCTGTGATATTACTGGTAATAATAGTTTTTATGTAAGTAATAATATAGTAGTTTGTTTCATATCCTCAGTACTATATTATGACTTTGTAGTGAATATTTATCCGCCGTGCCATATATAATAAAATAAGTATTATGTAACTTTTTTTTTACCATAGATTCATTTATTGTAAAAAAGGCCTTTAAGGCACCATTTTGTTAGAAAAAGAATTTAAATATGTGTTAATACTGAATTAAAGATCAAAGGATTATATATGTGTTCGCTTTGACATCTGATAACAGTGCCACAGATCTGAATGTGGTAAGTGTGATGCTTGTGGTAATTTTGGTTACCACTATTTCTAACAATACCTATTTTGGTCTTTCATCCCAGTTCCCCTCCCCCTTATTTTAAGAGAATTTATTAAGTTGTTTTCTATAATGTTTTATTGTGCATGGAATTATTAAATATACTGAAAGCATATAGACTAACATTTGACAAAAAGACAAATATTTGGGTCATTCTTAAAGCTTCATAGACAGAACCCTACAAACTAAAAAGAGGAAAATCTATTAAAAAAAAAAACAGATCTGACACCAAAAACTAAAATTTTTTATGTGTATTGGGGACACTGATAGAATCATTTTCCACTATTCAAATTTTGTAGTAATATGCCTGTGGTTCCTGCAATCCACTTAACCTAAGTGTTTGATCAGAGAGTGCCTTATTCAAGAAAATTTTGTGATTAAACGTCGTTAAAACACTTCTTTTTGTAGAGTGGTGCAAATTGATGCTAGTGTCCCCGATATACATATTAAAAGTTCAGAAAACCTCCATCCATTGCCCATAGGCAACCCTACATAAAATTATTCCAATACAGGTACAGGTTACTATGCATGTTCAGAAAACAGTGAAGAATGTCTGAACAACCAGTCTTACAGTTAGTAGGTAAATAGACTAGGTAATCTGGACTTGCCAAGTAATACCAGTAATTTCCCCAGAGAACTTGTCTGTTCAAGTCTACAATATTTGTCTATATTTTTAGATTTGTCCCTGAATGTGCAGAAATATCTTTACTGCACAAGATCAGATCCTTGTGTAAAACCAAGAAAATCATAAGATCCCAATCTAAAGCTTACTTAAAAAGATACTACCTCTTAGAATGGACATAAAATTTAATGTCTCAAACTTGGTCAACAAGTGTATACTGTATTTTCATTAGTTGGACTTCTCTATATAAGGCAATATATCCATTAAACTAAGTAATCATTGAAACACACTTCTGAGCATATTTCAAAATTACCTGTAGTTATTAATTAGTTATAACATCAGGTAAGTCCCCTGATGAACAAAGACTCATTTTAAGTTTAAAAATTTAATTTTTTGGTCATCTTAAGAGGTAATATACCTTTAATACATAAGCTTACAAGGTAATGTAATAATATAATAAACAATTGTTAGTAATTCTAGCATATACAACAACAAACCTTCACTATAAACACTAAGAATACACCACTAATAATCATAAATAAAAAAGAGCAAAAAATAAGAATTATAACAGTATATATCACATTTCAGACAATTTTTTATCAAAGATCATTCATTTTTCGCCAATTTGAGATGCAGAGACCCAGGCCAGATAAACTCAAAATGATCTTAGTCTTAGGGTATCTTAGAAACAGTGTTAGAAGATAAGACCCTAGGAAAAACAGGACTAATATCATTTTGAGAATACATATCCAGGATTGTTAGGTGATTCATAAGAATTAATAATTGTGAACAATTAAAAAACGATCAAACAATGCAATCCTGAAAAGAAGAATGAACCAAATGACACCAAAAACTAACCCATAGTGATCTTCCTTCATACCACATCAAAACTAGTAAAAATTTTAAATTACTGACTAAAACAAGAATCTAATGATTTTACAGCCATTTCCACCAATGTTTACATCAATACATAAAAAAATAAAGACTGAAAATAGTCTGACCTGAAACAAAAATCTCAAATTTTCAGACACATTCAGAAACTTTTGTCACGTGCGTTCCATTTTGTTTTATGGCAGAAGTTGTATGAACACAATCAATACCTGACTTGCATCATTTCAATAACCAAATATTCAATTTATCTAACCATACATTACTTGAACATGGATTAATGTAAGTTAGGGTCCCATTTCACAGAAAATCTTATCATAAAATTCAATAATGCTTTGAAGGTTGACCAGTAAAAAGAACTGTTTCCAGGTCTCGATCAGACTATATCCAGTCTTGATAATAATAGCCACGCACGAGTACAATATTTCTTACAATATAATGAGTATTAAAATTAGTGCTCAAACGAGTAACTCCAGATTAGCTTGCAGCAATCACAAACCAATCAAATTTACTATACAGATAGGCCTACATGTATTTCAGCCCCATCACCAGATATGAATTGGTATTGGGGCTCAGATTTTGTACTCAAAAAATTTGAAGAATTAAAGGCCCAGAGAACTCATTTCTGACAATTTTGAAGGGCTAAAAACGTATCAAAATCTATATCTTTTTGATTTTTTAAAAGACACTGTAAATGAATCAATCTCTGCTGAAATGAAGGTTTACTGGGACTTAATTCTCACTTGCTGGGACTCAGCCCCCACGGACCCCACCCTAACAAAGGGGCTGCATGTAATGGCCAAATATCACAAAATTTTAGCACAAAATTTAAGGTTGGTCAAATTTTCATAAACAGTTGCAGAATGTCTTATATTATCGACTTCACAAAAAAAGATTTTTGGAATTTTTTTTTTCCAAAATCTGTAACCATGAATACATTGTAAGTAACCAGATATACTTTCTACTCCTTCAGATCAGCAAATAGTAGCTAAGAATCTGTGAATAGTAAAAATCAGTAACCGTTTGAGCACTATGAAATGGTCTACAATAAAACTGTTGTAAGACATCTAAGTGTGGATGGAATTTGACCAGTGAAATAAAGTAAAGTATAATATGAAAAGACCGAAACCGTAATTTTTCATTTCAAAAATAAATATCATGACAAAGTTTATATTTCAAGAACAGAAGAGATTGTCAAAAAAAACACAGAAATTGCAAAAGTAGCCAAAAAGCTGTGTATCAAAACAGAAATAATAATTTTTCGATGAATTTGCTATTTGCCATTAGCTTTAAGTAGCAGCCTTTTCATATTATAAAATAAAGTTGAATACTTTAAACTCTTAGACCATTTCTCTCAGCACTATTTAAAGCTTCATATCTCACTTCTTGACTTCTGCATAACAAGATACAAGCACTGATCAATCCCAAAATCTGAAAATTATATAACAAACAATGAAGTTGGCCAACACCATGCAGTGTGCAATGATGAAAATTTTCCCAGAACAGCAACATTAGCTGTTTTTTTTATCATGATTGAAAGGATCTTTGATTTGCTTTATTAAACCATCTAAAAGACTTCAGTCCATGGAAAGCACTAAGACTTGGATGACCCCTGACCTGTAGGTAAGCGAGCAAGAATTCAGAGCTCTTATCTTCAACATATGAAAATCAGATCAATTTGGGTGTAAAGATAAGGTGGTAGTTTGGAGAAAAAAAGGAGTTGTGTAGAGATTATCTAGCTTTTCTATAAGTATTAAGATCATTTATGGCTTATGGCTTAAGAGCCACAAATATCTGACTGTGCAACGGTGCAAATTGATGCTATCATGGTCTCTGAAACAGTTACTATTTTTGGAAAATTGCTTTACAATGCCTTTGACAACAAACACCATACCTGAATAACAGCAAAAGCTACAGCAAAACTGGCAATATATACAAGGTTAGAGTTGAATTTATCTTCCACTAAAGGCAAACACCCCTACAATAAAAAATGGTATTTCCAACCTACGTTTCTGCATGGAAATGGGAAAACAATGACTAGCAACTACATACAGTGTGCAATGATGCTTTTCAGACTAGTTCAGGCAATAAAACTAACAGTTTAACAATCTTTAACTGACCTGAATCATGAAAAAGGAGAGTTGAGGAACCTGAAGATATCATCTCAACCTATGCCTGAATTGAATCTTGGACCCTCAAGTTAGCATTACAGATTGAGCCCCTGCGACACCAGGAAAAAGACCGAATTTGAATTCCCTTTCACAGCCACTAACACTATGAAACTCCAGGACAGAGCATCTAAATTGCTGAGTCGCTGTCACAGGATACAACACTATCAGTTCTATATTGGAAACAAACATTGGAAATAATGTTACCTCTTTAAAGACAAGAGGATCTCTAGGAACCAACGATCCAGTACAGTTATTATTACTACAGCAACTTGTTGGTACTATATTTTTATGTTCATGTCCCCAGTAGGCAGACGTCAACCAGTCACTAGCATTGTTCACACCACAGCATTTCAGCTTTTAAAAAAACAGACATTTGTACCAATAAAATTTAAATCTGGACCTTGATTCCAAGATTTATTAATGAGGCCAAGGCCAAGGGTTGACCGAGGACAGACTCATAATGCTCATGATGCTGACACATGTTTCAGATAAACAACCTTTATCAGGACTGCTTTATTAAAAATGAGTGTTTACTTTCCATTATAGGACAATAGGCAAATAAGCAAATATCAGCAATCTCACTGAACAAGAGCAAGAAGTTTTAGCTGAAGTATGAGAAATTTATTTTGCTAAATATCTATAAACAGAACTAATGTGTTACCTCCTGTTGTACATAATCAACCTGATCTTTTTGAATGGTTTCATTATATCTGTTAATACTGTTATGTAGACCGTCTGACACTGTTCTTTTAACCTACAGTTTAATATAAGCAATACAATAGTTATAAACTAATTTTAAACAAGATGTCAGCTTACTGTATTTGAGTCCATAGTCCATGGTAACATGTGTTCCAAACTAAGTACTAACTATATTAAAATTATTAACTCTATTGGTAGCCGATCTCTTTATTTGTGACCTCGGCCAGTGCTTTACATAGGGGTTTCTATGAAATTCCTCACATTATAGTTATAGTACATTTCTGCAAATTTTTATGAAGTTTTATGTCTAGCTAATTTATATGTCAATACCTAATGTGAGGTGCATTATGCGGGGGAAATCATATAATGTGCTGTTTATTTAATTTACAACAATGATTATAACCAGCTATTTTAATAATTTTTAGTAAAAAAATACATACATCTTTTCTATACAAATAACCAGTCACACCGGCTGTCACTTCAGCCAAAAATACCAATAGAATCAAACTGAAGAACTGAAATCAAAGATTAAAAGTACAAATACTAACAGAAAGAGATATTTTACTCAGACACGATCGGTTCAACACAAAACAGTATTTATCAAGAATTAGCATATTCTTTTCTGTAGACTACATATATATTTGTTTAAAGGGGCAGATAGGCCATTTTTTTTACCAATCATACTTTAGTCTCACAAACTGTAATTTTTTAGCTGAGCTAATCAGTAAAAGTGTTCACAGCTCACTGAGCCTTCAAATCCATGTGTGTCCAGAATTATCTGCGTTTGAATGTTAAAATGACTACTCATCAATTTAAGATACCCTGTGATATATAGAAAAGACATATATAGGAAAAGTGAGTAAAATTCATAGCTTGAGGTATTTTTGAAGGAATTAAGTGATTTTCATGTAATTCTAGTACTTCTGAAGACTACTTACATAATAATAATAATAATGTTTATTCGGTAATCAGGCCATATGACCAATAGATACAAATAAATATATAATATACATGTACATGTAAATGTAAATAAAATCTTCAATAAATATAAACAGAATCTTGAATAAATATAAACGGAATCTTGAATAAATATACATGTATTCAAAACTAAAATCAACCCCCAAACTGGTGCAAATGCCTTGTAACAAGACCAACTGAACCTAGCCCATTCCTATTGTCAGTTTGGGACAAAAAAAAAAAAACTCTGGAAAACTTAAACTCATCCTTCATTCTACTCACCACTGCTAATATGCACTTGCTTTCTTTACATGCAGCAATACAGCCAATTAATCCAATGATAAACATAAAGACTCCTACAGTAACTATAATAGCAGCTGGAACCAGAGTTAAACTGGCTTCTGCTATTTCATCATAGTGAGAATAGGTAGAATATACCCAAGATCCAACAAAACATAGTCCTGCTGCTGCTCCCTAAAAATAATTAACGAATTGCAAGCACGGGTATTACTTGACAGGTACCAGTAACAAAATCATCCCTTAATTCTACAAATGAGCTCTTCTATCACAGATGAGCTTATACAGTTTAATGATGAGCTAGTATGCACTTGTGGAAGAGTGCAATAGACAGTTGAGGGGTGTCAAATAGATGACTGTCAATCTTGCGTTGAAATGTAATCACAATGGGAAAGGTAATGCACTCCATCCCAAATTGATCAATGTTCATGATCTATACCTTGACAAAATTGATTCTAGAAGAAAATATGAAAATCATTCAAAATGTCAATATACAGAAAAATATAGTCTTCTGCTCACTGAACTGGTTGAATAGCAGCATTATTATCTATCTGCATTCATTCACAGAGTTTCTTTAGATGAAAATAGTAATGTCTGAAAATAAAATCTGATCTTTAACAAATACATACCCAGAAAATCAGACCAACAAGTATCAGACAGATCTTAGATGTAACAGTACAACCACTTGCCATTTTGTCAAATATTCAATTGAAAACCTGAATATAATGAAAAATACATCTTATGATAATAGACATAGTGATATATAAGGCCTGTCTCAGTCACGTTTCTGTCAATGTAGAATGACAAAGATCCATAATAGAAGAATTTTTAACATAAGAATTCATATGTGACAGTTTTCATATATATAAAAAAAACCCAAAATTTTCAGGTTGAAGCATGAATTAATAAGTCTTTCCAAATTCTTAGAAAATGTTAAAACTAAAACGGCATTTGGTAGACACGACTTGACATTGAGAGTGTTAGTGCCAGTGACACTGGACTGAGTGCTGACACTAGTGACAGTGGATGGGTGATCATAGGTCATAGTGTATTATTCACAACAAGTAGGCCCATGGTAATAAATTAATATCATAAGTTACCCGAGTCTAGCAGTCAAACCTCACAATATCAATGTTGGTTTGGTTTTATAAAAGAAATGAGTAATATTCACCTTATTTGAGTTGTAATCAATTTGTTTACAATTATTCCTGTCACACTTCCGGTTTATATTTTGGGATGTTTCGAACACGACGCAATTACCAGTTTCTATAAAATTAAAAAGCTTAACAAGTAACTTTTCTTTCACGAGGAAAAAAATTATAAATAAAATGTTGTAGCTATCTTAAAATATTTTCACGACTTATTCTTCTATTAGAAATAATCATTAAAAAATATTGTTTCAAAAATTTCACAAAGTTTTAAAGAACAACCAAACGAACTCGACCCATACCTGGAACGAAAGATCTTTAGTCTCCAATCCAAAAAGTTCTATTTCAAGTATTTGAAGACAGAAAGTAACACGCGTTTTACATCTAATCAATTAAAATATCTTCAAAGCAAATATCATGAAATCGGTGCTCATATATCAGTTAGAAAAATTGGGTCTATAATAAAATGAATTGTTAATTTATTAAGTTTTATTTGAGACTACATAAATCCACGGGTCGAAGCACTTCCGTTACAGAGGCCATTTTAGTGAGGCCGAAGATCGAACTACCGGCAAAAATGCTTACAGCCCGCTTGTCTGCTTCTTTGGTTCGTCAGCTTCCATCAGCTGTCAACAAGGTATGCTGCATCTGCCTGCTTTGAACATCTTTCGTTAATCTCTTTTCATTTCTTAGAATGCATTGCAAATTCCATGTCATTCACAGAACTCTCAATGACAAGTGGTCAAAACCCCCCTCCACAAAGTCACCTTTTTTCAAGACCGAAAAAGTACCTGCATAATTTACCAAGGAAAGTTGAGAGCAAATTAATGTCATTGCTTTTTAAAATGAAAGTGGCTAGTTGTTAGATTTCCCATAAAGATTTAAATTGGTTTGCTTTCTTAGTTGATCTTAGCTAGGTTAACATTAGCATGACCTTCAGAAAAATGAAGACAAGGGTGCAGGTTTAGACCTGGGCGAGGTATTTTGTTGTAATTAAGAAACATTCAAAGACTACTTAGATCATTTTTATAAGAATGGACCAACCTGTTCTGGGTTGTGCTTTAGTAATAACAGTTTGAGTTGTCTTGTAGGACACAATTACATTTGTTGAAAACTTAAAAAAATTTATTAGTCTATTGCTAGTCAATTTGAAACCTAACTGTGATGGGTCAAAATGGTTCTAAATGCCCTTTGGAAGGTCAGCATTGCACCAGGGAAAAGGCATAAATGGTCTAAAATGTTTAGGTGCCTACAGCCCCATCTCCAGGAATGCTTTTGTACTCAGACCATATGAAGAATTTAAGGCCCAGAGAACTATCAGAGGTGCCAAAAATGCACCATAAGTTGTATCTTTTTGATTTTGTACAAAAACACTGTAATTGAAGATTTTGCTGGGGCTTAACTCTCACTTGATTGGGCCCAGCTCCCACCTTTATGACAGGGCTGGATGCCAAGTTCATTATAACAGTATTACAGTTAGAATTTACTGAGTTTATCTATTTTTATATATTATTCTTTTAGGTATCTAAATATGCAGTTGGTACAACATTTGCCGCTGCCAAGAAGTTTTCAACCTCTACACAAAAATTGGCTGCTGGTGGAACAGGTAGGTCTACCATCAATTGAAAAATTCCAAAAAACTTTTTACTTTACTCAGACAATAGGTGCTTCTTTCTATCAAGTCAATCTGTATTTTCTTCTTACTATGATCAATCTGGTGCAGAAAAGTAGGATGTAAAATGTTGCTTCTTTCACAGTTATCACAATATATCAAGTATTCAAATGCTTACATACAAGCTAGTTTCTGGTCACTATTATGATATAAACAAAACAATGACAAATGATTTCATTGCTACTTTTTAGGTTCGGAAGTCTCCTCCATTTTAGAAGATAGAATATTAGGTCAGACTACAAATGTAAATTTAGAAGAAACAGGTAGAGTATTATCTATTGGAGATGGTATTGCTCGTGTTTATGGGTTAAAGAACATCCAAGCTGAAGAGATGGTGGAATTCTCCAGTGGATTAAAGGTAAACATTGAAATCTATAAACAGACAAATTATGTGTGTTTTCAGACAAGAAAATTTGTTTCATTGATAAATAAGGAACTTATCATAACTTGTACCAAAAAAAAAAATTTTTAAGATAGGCCTACTAGTACTGGTACATGGACACTGATTAGTACTATGTTGTACTGCTTGCTTTTAGTATTTGCATCTTCTATAGAAGCTTAATTATCAAATGATGGGAAAAGCTTCTATAAATTGCACTCTTAGTGTAATTAGTATTGAAATATTTCAGGGTATGGCTTTGAATTTGGAACCTGACAATGTTGGTGTTGTAGTATTTGGTAATGATAAGTTGATTGGTGAAGGTGATATCGTCAAGAGAACTGGTGCTATTGTAGATGTACCTGTAGGAAGGGAAATTCTAGGAAGAGTAGTTGATGCTTTGGGAAATGCTATTGATGGAAAGGTAACAGGGTTATCACAATAAGTAACATTTCATCCAGATAACATTAGTTAATTATTGGCAAGAGTCTTTACCCTTTAGATTTCAAAAAGGTATACTGAGATACACACTTCCTTCTTTGAAAATTGTTTATAGGGTCTGATTCTCTTTTATTGCTTAATATGTTATGTATTTGTATTATAGGGAGCCATCAAAACACCAGCTAGAGCTCGAGTAGGAGTGAAAGCTCCAGGTATCATTCCAAGAACATCTGTCAATGAACCTATGCAGACTGGTATTAAAGCTGTTGACAGTTTGGTACCTATTGGTCGTGGACAACGAGAACTTATTATTGGTGATCGACAAACTGGGTAAATATATTAACTTTATCGTTTGATTCAAAAGTTGTGAGTACTGTAACCATAAAACGTCCTGATTAGTCCTGTCAGCCTTTGCCAGTTCGTTAAAACCCTAGTCTATGTTGCAATTGATACAGTGCTTTAATTCTAAATATTGAGGTGCAAATTCAATATTGAAGTGTTTACAAGAAGTTTCATCAAAGTACAAAACAAAGCAGTTGGATTTTGACTTTGAAAGTTCCTTGACACTTCACTTGATGTTATCATTAGAACAGTAATTCATGACATGTGATGTTTATTTTCAGAAAAACTGCCATTGCTATTGACACTATTATCAATCAAAAACGATTCAATGATGGAAGTGATGAAAAAGCTAAATTATACTGTATTTATGTTGCCATTGGACAGAAACGATCTACAGTAGCCCAGTTAGTCAAACGTCTTACTGATGCTGGTAGGTATTGAATTCATTTCATAAGTTGTTCACTACAGCTTTGACTTATCTCTTGTCTTACCAATAATAATGATGTAAGCCCAGTTGATAGTAACTTTTTCTGACAAGGTTGATTTTTATTACAGATGCCATGAAATATACCATTGTTGTCAGCGCCACAGCTTCTGATGCTGCCCCTCTACAATATTTAGCTCCCTATTCTGGTTGTGCCATGGGAGAATATTTCCGAGACAATGGAATGCATGCCCTCATCATTTATGATGATTTATCAAAACAGGTAGGTCTCTGTCGTGCAAGGCTGAAATTGTCAATTTTATTTGGCACTTACTATCTTTCACTCTAAGATCATGCTAGCTACAATGGAAATTTCTTTTATTCAAAATAGAATGAAAATCACAAGCTTAATCGTTCCATCATATAACCTGTACTAGAATTCTGTTCCAATGAATATTCTTTTAATAATCCCTTTTTGATATCCAATTTTAGGCTGTTGCATATCGTCAAATGTCTCTGTTATTGAGAAGACCCCCAGGAAGAGAGGCTTACCCCGGTGATGTCTTCTACCTCCACTCTCGTCTTCTAGAGAGAGCAGCCAAGATGAATAACGACAACAAAGGTGGCTCACTGACAGCTTTACCAGTCATTGAAACCCAGGCTGGTGATGTATCAGCCTATATTCCCACTAATGTCATCTCCATTACTGATGGACAGATCTTTTTAGAAACTGAATTGTTTTATAAAGGTATTCGACCAGCCATTAATGTAGGCTTATCTGTCAGTCGAGTAGGATCTGCTGCCCAGACCAAGGCCATGAAACAGGTAAGCGGAACAAGTTGTAAGTTTACCTTACCCTTAATGAGCTTAATATAGACGAAACACCAATTTTTATAACTAAAAGCCTATGACATTAAAGAGATTCTAAGGAGGTTTTCTAAAATATTTATGTATATGGGGACACAGATGGCATAAATTTGCACCATTCCAATTTTCATTTCGACGTCTGTGGTTCTTGTAATGCCACTAGAGAGAAACTGCATAGATATTAATAGTATGTTCCAGTAGCTCCCCTCTTGTGACGCCATAAAATGCGTTAGTTTTAGTGGAATTGCAAGAACCACAGACGTCAGAATGAAAATTGGAATTGAAGCTATCAGTGTCCCTGATACAGACAAAATTTAGAAAATCTCTTTGCAATCCCTTTAACACTATGTGATGTCAGTTGTTAACTGCTAAGGTAATCATATAATTACGTTGCTGGTATAGTACCTACTTGTATTGAAAGGGTGAATTTCTTATGGGTACTAAAATAGTTAAGTGTTCTAACAATTACTTATTTCCCATAGCTTGTTAAGTTTGTAAGACCATTTTGGATCATGTTGATAAAAAATTGTCAATCCAAGTTTTGTTAAAAAAGACAAGTTGATTAACCTACTATAATGTAGCTAAATATTTTATAATTCTAGGTTGCTGGTTCTATGAAATTGGAATTGGCCCAATACAGAGAAGTGGCTGCTTTCGCCCAGTTTGGTTCTGATTTAGATCAGGCTACACAGAATTTACTCAACAGAGGTGTACGTCTTACTGAACTGCTCAAACAAGGACAATATGGTAAGTTGGTCAAACCCAGCTTAGCTTTTAATGTTTTGGAATTTGCATTGCTGTAGATTCCTGTTTCAGTACTTTACGTAGACAGCTGAAATGCTGCCTGTCAATTTCAAATTTTGCACAGTAGTAAAAATGAAATCATCATCTGTGAGCCTGGAGGTAGTTTTGAGATTGATTTACCAGATAGACAAGTAACTATCTTCAATTTATCATTTTAGTTCCCATGGCTATTGAAGAACAAGTAGCAGTAATCTACGCTGGCGTCAGAGGACATTTAGACAAATTAGACCCATCCAAAATCACGTCATTTGAAAGTGAATTTTTACAACATCTCAGAAGTAGCCAAACCAATTTATTAAAAACCATTGCCACTGAAGGAAAGATTTCCGACGCCTCTGAAGAAGCCCTGAAGGGAGTTGTAACTAGTTTCTTACAATCCTACACTGCATAAAGAGTTATATATCATAGTGCTATACAATAAACTTGTGAAGAATAGTAGAGTGAAAGACAATATCAATGCTACTTTAAATTATAATGTTGATATAAAACTAATTTTATTTTAGCTGAAGTTAAATTTTGACCAAGACGAAAAAAATTGTACAGAGGTTGTTGCCATGTGCATTGTAATAAATGCATTCAATACCAAGTTGTCTTTTTCTTGACTGGATTTTTAAAGTGATAGTCTGCTACACTTTGCTTCACAAGCTGATACAGCTCAATTTCAGCTATATGTTTAACTTTTTCAAAGAAAAATGTTAACTGGAATTGACAATAGTATGAATTTATAGAAACACAGAGAAATGAGCTTTTTCAGCATTAAAGCAGAGGTTTTGACAACTTTATCCCATTCAATTAGCAATATTCTTGCTCAAGTAGAAATGAAAATTTGCAGTACTCTACTGAAAATAACACAAAAGCTGGAAATTCGACAACACAATAACTGGTCCCCAATGGGAATTTGACATCACAATAACTGGTCCCCAATGGAAATTTGACATCACAATAACTGGTGCTTTACTTGAAATTTGACAACACAATAACTGGTGCCTCGTGAAAATTTGACAACACAATAACTGGTGCCTCGTGAAAATTTGACAACACAATAACTGGTGCCCCGTGAAAATTTGACAACACAATAACTGGTGCCCAATGGAAATTTGACAACACAATAACTGGTGCTTTACTTAAAATTTGACAACACAATAACTGGTGCTTTACTTGAAATTTGACAACACAATAACTAGTGCCCCGTGAAAATTTGACAACACAATAACTGGTGCTTTACTTGAAATTTGACAACACCATAACTGGTGCCTTGCTGAACAGTAGGATACCCTCCCCTCCCTCACCTTACTATTAATGTTGAAGTACAAAGTTTATCAAAATATCCAGAATTTCACTATGTATTCACCATGGCAAAACTACTTCAAGAATTCGGTATCCAGAAAATGTTATTGGGTGTTACAAAAACATCAACAAATTTCAACTTTAATTTAGAGATTCAAGCACTGAAGAATAATATTTTGGGAAATGGACCAGAAAATATGTTTCTCAAAGTGGTTGTTCTAGGAACAGCAGGAATTACTGTTGTTTTTCTTGCACATAAGGTAAATATATTTAGAAATCTAAAGTCGATGAAATGTCAATATTTTCTTCATTGCACACTGCATAGTATAGTCTTATTTGTTTTTTAGTTCACTAGTGTCAAGTTAATGTTTCAGTTATCTTGGTCTTTTTAACAGGCACATAAACATATCTAGAATATGGATTTTATTTTATATACATTTTGGGAGAATAAGGCGTAAGTCCAGACTAATTTGTTACAATCCATAATAAGAAAAAAAAGAGATAGCTCTGCACCAAATTGGAGTGTCATCTGCTAAATATGTCCAGACTGATGCAAATTAATGTCAAGTCTAAGTCAACTTACACTTAAAGGGATTGTAAAGAGGCTTTCTAAATTTGTTATGTATATCGAGGACAATAATAGCATCAAGTAGCATCATTCCAATTTTCAGTCAGACATCTGTGATTCCTGCAATTCCACAAAATATAGGTGTTTGATGACATCACTAATCACGAAATTTGCTTTATCCCACAAGACCCTTCCCAATTAGTGATGTCATCAAACACTTAGTTTATTGGAATTGCAAGAAGCAAGAAGCACAGATATCTGATTGGAATGGTGCAAATTGGTGATATCAGTATCCCTGATATTCACATTTTAGAAAAATTTTCAAAATTTGGAAATCCTCTTTACAATCCCTTTAATTATTGGCAAATACTGCAAAAGCAACTAAGAATTACTATTTTTAGGTGATAAAAAGACAGAACAACAAAAAACTTGAAAGAGCCAAAGATCGAGTTCAGAAACAGAAAGATGGGGAAAAACCAAATGTTATGGTATATCAACATGGAAATCAAACGAGTGTAACGATTGGTGATACTTACAATAATACCAGTTATTTAGATAAAATTTGAAAGACATTTAGAAGTGGAGAGTAGATATAACAAAAAACACAAGGGGTATCAGATGACTGATGACGACACGTGTAAATTGTGTTGAAACGTTTGCTTTGTTATTAAAGAAGTGAGTTAAACCATAATATTCCCCTTGTGTTTTTTGTTATATATACTAATTATTTACATTAATAAATATAATATTATTGATTTTGGAGTGGGGGGGGGGGGGATATTTTAATGGTGTAAACAGATTTTACTTTTTTTTTATAATTTCTTACTAAATGATTACAAATAATGTACAACAATACTTAGCATGTATTTTTATCAGTAGAAAGTTATTCTGAGATTAACAGGTCTGTATTAAAGCTGATTCACATTAATGATAGGTATTTTATTTTTTTTGTGCAAAATTAAGCAAACTATTTGATTAATCGGTGTTTCTACTGAATCATCATGTATTCTCAATCATATCATTATGTTCATAATTAAGAGTTTTAACCAATCATAAATGTCCATTTAAGTACAGTCTGGATAAACAAAAAAAGACTTTTTGACCTTAATTTCTTGATCGGTCACTCACTGAAATTCTGCTGGCCATTTCATCTAATTTAGCTAATTATGAATTAATTATGGACATGTAAGACAAAATTGGATTTTTCATAGTCATTAGAACACCTCTACTTTCCATTTATATAATTATTAGCATTTTCATGAATGAAAATAAGGGAACCCATCTTTAAAGTGAAGGGTGAAGAGACTGCAATATCTGTGTCAGCTATAGCCTTTTACATTTTGTTTTGTAAATATAAACACATGCATGAAACTCGTGAGTACAGGCAAAGGGTGTTTTGATTAGTTTAAATTCACATTCTTAGCGACTTGGATAAAGTGAACCACAGTCCCATTGATATTGTTTATAAAAGGGGCATGGTTTTAACAGCATTGAAAACTGACAGACAACATTCAAATTTTTAAGACCACTAAGCGCCAATGTAACTTTACATCAGGAAAAACTATGCCTGACATGAAAATTGACAACATATTCTGAATTAGTTCTCTGAACACTAATAGCAAATGGTTCACTGGGATGAAAGGTAAATGCCACTAGTCTTCTAGCTGTTGGTGGAGGATTCCGTCCAAGAAACCCAGCATGGATTTTAAATTTCAATAGTCCAGAATCTCGAGCATAAAATCTGAAATAAATGATGTCAAATTATTACAGAAAAAAACATAATTTAAGTAGAATATCTAATGACAAAGCATCCTGTACATTGCTACTAGCCTTAAAGCGAGAGTTTGCTAGAGATTTTTAAAGGGACAGATGCGCCATTTTTTTAACCAAGCATACCTTAGTCCCAGAAACATAAATTTAGTATTAGTGTTCACTATTGAAGTTTGAGCCTTCAAATACATGTGTGTCCAGAATTATCTGAAAGTCTTTACTATATATAAAAAAGACATCTATAGAAATAACAAAAAGAAATTCCTATTTTGAGATATTTTGAAGGAATTATGCGATTTTTGTACTTCTGAAGACTATTTACATATATTCAAGAGTAAAATCAACCCCCCCAAAATGGTGCACCTGTTCCCTTATTAAGACCTAATCTGTTTTGCATATAATTCCATATCTTGTTTTACATTTTGCAAAGGCCACATATAAATTAGGATATAAATCTGTTAAATATTTATAGGTTTATGTTTGGAAAACTCAGAGAGGTGCACAATATTTTAGCTTGACTTTATAATGATGTTGGCTAGTACAAATAGTATCATGAATCCATTTACCTTATAGGATGTTCACCACAACCTTTGGGTCTCTCCATGGCAGATATCCATTTATCATCGTAACTAAATAAAGCTAAATCAACATAAGGACTATTACTATAAGATTGTGAGCTAATTGGTAGTTGAGCTAAAAGATGGCGGATAGCTTCCGTTTGACTACCATATTTAGATTTGATTATAGACTGTTTATATCGTTCTTGGAACTGGCGGGCGTAAGTATTGTTAGACACTGAACATGTAAACTGTACACTGGAATGAATAGTAGCATTTCGAAACATATCGCAAAAATTTTCAACCAAACTTAAAAGTTCTTCTGAAGTATTTTCGTACACTGCCATCACTTCTGCTTTGCTCATATTATAAGCAACAATAAATGACGGTTCAGAATTCATGTTTGGAGTTCTTAATGTGACCACATCTTCTTCAGCATATTTGATCAGAAGGTGATTTTCATCTAATAATTGCATCTTCCACATGCGTAAGGCTTTGAATTGATCAAAATATGTATAAAATAAACGTAATTGATAGGGGTCATCTTTAGCTTTATAATATAAAAATGTCAACAGTCTATGTTTCAAAGAATTAGTCAATTTATCATAGAATGGTCGTTGAAGATTTTGACGAACTTGGGGATCCAAACACTCACGTAAAAAAAGCTCGTCATCTTCGAAACAAAATCTGCCAATACTTCGTATATCGATAAAAGAGCCTTGAGGAGTGACATGAAAAATGTGAATTGTTTGTTGTTGAACTGATAACACTGCTAACGTTGTTTTATACAAATATATACCTTGATTATGGGATAGAAAAATCTTATCACATTTAAATTTTCGTCGATCACAGAGCCTTCCTGTTTCTAATTCAACTAGATGTAAAGAGTAATCTTCTAATGGTGATCTTGAATTAGGCGAAACAGATTCATTGTTTTTATAAATGTCAAAAAATAATGGGTGTGGGTCCTCTGGCAGGTAAACAGCACTACCAACTATCACAAAATTTCCGTCATCCGTAAATAAACTACATTCTCTATTTAAATGTTCTCCATCAGTGGCCACTAATGTCACATGTTTCAGTTTAAAAAATCTTTTAAACAAATTTCTCCTGATGTCATCATTTCCCGATCCCAAATTATCCCCCTTGATTCCACACAATAGATCTTCAACTGCTTGAGAGCCTTGAAATTCATATATTTCTATTGACGTTTGGTCAGATGAAAATGCTACAAAATAATGCCCGTCTGGTGAAAATTTACGTAAAAAACAAGGAGGCTTTTCAACATTTGTGATCGTAAAATTTGGAAAAACATTTGTATAGAATCTTCTAGCTTGGTGAAAATGTGTGCCCTGTTTTGGCAGGTGAGTTTCCCGTCGAATTAGACGTGTCACAATATTTTGATTGGGTATTTTTCTTGGTTTGATGCCATCTTCTGTATTTTCACCATCTGAACAACCTTCAGCACTTCCTTCACATTTCATGATTCCCACTAGGCTACAGCATTTAAATCTCTTTCAATTTGAATGTCGTCTGAATAATCAATCTGCAACAGAAAAATAATCAATATTTCTGAAAATTCAACTGAAAACATTGATCAATGTAACAGAATGACAAAAGCAAGGGAAGTTTCAACTTTCAAGGTAGGCTTGGACTTTAATTTTCTTGAATTGCAGAAGAATCAAACATCTGACTTCATTTCTAAGGAGGAAAAGATAGCTTAACTGGAACTCTTTTAGCTGATAAAGCAAACATTTATTGATTTAGATTCCTTGAAACTTGCAATTATCAAATTAACTCAAACTGGTTTGCAGAGATTGCTGTGAACTGTCTACTAAATGTAAGTTAAACATTACTATACTTGCCTTAGTCTACCCTTACTCATAGGTAGAACTAGTTTGTAGAAGAAGTCAACTTGTTGAAGTTTGAAGTCAACGCAAATCATAGAGTTCTATGGTGCAAAAAGTCTTATATCTAGCCTTATAGATCTAGGCCTAAAATGACAACTTTGTTTGGGTCAAACTGGTCTCTTAGTAAAGGACAAAACATCGCTTCTTGATGTATTGGTGCTGTTTTCACTCTCACGTAAGTTTAATTTTCGATGTAAGGCCTCCGCCTACCTACGACTGGAGTTTTAAGTAGTTTGGTGAAGCGCTAATCCATCCATTTAGTTTACACACAAGGATGGATTTAACCAATAAACTCTCTGATTTGACTGGACATAGAACTGTATAAAGTACTATGAACTGAACGAAGGTGATCCAAAACGTCGCACATGCGCATGGGTCATCACGCTTCAGACATTTTGCATTGTAGAAATAATAGTAACCAATTAGAAGCAAAAAAATACAACCCATTTCAGCGAAGATTAGTTATAAATCAACCCGAAAGTCCCTTATAGGCCTTGACAAATACTGTAAGTGTAAATTCTTTGCAAAATTATAGTAAAACACTAAACCCTCATTACACTACGTTTGCAAAGAATGGGTTTTTCCTACAACAATCTGAATCCTGCAATCAAAATCAAGTCAAGAATCAAGCACAGTGTCCTGAATTTGCATACGATTACGAGTTTATTTGATATGTTATTCTTGGTTCAGTGCAAGCAACACTTTTGTTGTTGGGTTGATGATGATATAGATTAGAGCATTAGAAATTATTAAGAAAGTTTTGGTGATTGTTGTAGACTTAATAAGAATGGCTTTTCAGTTAAAATTCCTCCCTTTTTTTTCAACTTTTTATTTTTAGTCAAATGGATGAAAGTTATCTACATTATTAGGCTAACCACAGGCTCCTGATTCTGGATAAAAAAAATTTTCTACCAGAATCAGCTAAGCTTACCTTTTTCCATCATCCTATCTTTGACTCCAAACTTCATGTGCATGTAATATAGGAAGGTATGGTCATTACCATGTGCAATGTTCTGGACAAATATGACAGAGTTGTTTCTTGCATCTTTGCTGATTTGTTTTGTTGAGTTTGAATTGATCTGGTTGTATCTCATGATGTGAACCTATGGAGCTTATTCATGCCTTGTTTTGAGACACTGAAAGCCAAGCCCAAAACACAAAATATGTCATCCATTAAAAAGATGGCCCATCATAATAAGGAAATAACACAATCACCCGATTCTATTTTTAAGATATGATTAGTTTTGAGTTCATTTGATTGGAGAAGGAGGTGTTAAGTCTTGTCGAAATTCTGTCAAATGATACCAGCCTTGCCTTTTGTAACCTCATTAGGAGAAAATGACAGCACATTCTCCTTTTTCTCTTTATTTTCCATTCTGTTTCTGCAATTGTAGCTGCAAGCACAGACAAATTTTCAAATCACCTATATTGCAAATAAGTACCTTTGCTTAAATTTTATTATTGTGTGTGCATATATGTGACCTTACAATATTAGCAAGTTTCTTTATGTTCGAAAATGTTCATTTCTTGCTGCATTAATTAATAAAATCTTTATCAACCCACTCATTATTTTCCGTGGTGTTAAAAAATATTGTTATTGGAAATGAATATTATCGAAAAACAATATGTTTTGTGTTTACTATAGTCTTATTTGTGTATTATATTTGTTCCTGTCAATTTATCTGCTTCTGGTAAAGGTGCATGGCTTCATTTTGACTTAACCCCCTCCATGAAGAACTACGATGAATTAGCAATGACATAGAACTATTGTCTGACCACAGCACTTTAAAACTGATATGTCCATGATTCTAAATACTCATATTCAGCATACAGTTTTTGAAAGTCAAGTCATGGAGATTTTTGTAATTTGGGACAAGTTATTTTCCAAGGTGTGGTTCATTCTCAAGTATACGACTGTATATAACTTCTTGGAAATGCCTTTATTTCAAATGTAAATCTATTATAGACATTCTAAAACAAATGAAATGACGGAAATGCAATTCAAATTTGTGTTCTTTCAATAATCAGAAAGTTATAATGTAAGTTGTCTCCCTTGGCTTACCATTCTTGTAAAGCGCTGTCAATAGCTAGAATTGATCTCTATCATTGGGGATGCCTATTAGATTGATAAAGCTATGAAAATAACTTTTGCAATAACAATATAAGAAACTAAAATTATTGTTGATCACATTTTTCTCAGTCTAATTAAAATTACAGCAAAATTTCTCTTCATTTGTTGTATTCGCTTTTATTCTTAGTATAGCCACTTCAGTTAGGGTCTAAAGACTGACTTCTTGAACATATGTCAAAATAACATCTACTTAAACCTATCAAATCTCTCACAATATGCCAGTGCTATGGAGATGGCAGGAATTTGATTGGTTAAGCAGGAATGTAAGAGGCCAGTCGTGAGACCCTTACTTATTTAAATTAAAAGGTAATAAAAATGGAAAGAAAGTTTGGTTATATTTTGATTAGACTGAGATTTTCATAATGTTCTGTAACAATTGCCATTTTCAATTCAAAATTACGATTTTATGGTTTACTTTTGAACATGATCAGATCAGAAAGGGGAGAATTTCAAATTTTCTTCTATTATCTTGAACACAGGACCAAATAAAGTGTGATAGTCTGCATATTCCAAAAAATATTTTGTTTCGAAAATACTATGTATTCCCACAAAAAACCCCAAGCATTTTGCTTAGATTATATTTGACCAAGGGTATGTTTTCATATGATTTCTGCATTTGTCAATGTTCCGAAGACTCTTCAAATGCGTGATGGACTAATTATAAATTTAGGAGACGGCTAAAATTGGGCTAGTAGTTAAAGGTTAAGGTCATAAATCTAGAGTTATACTTTTGTCGAAAAATATTTGACCAATTGCAAAATTTGGAGAGTTAATTCAAGAATCAGATAGATTTTCTCGCTTTTCTTCATATTGTATTGAACTTGTGTTTTATTTGTACGTATTTGAATTAATTTTTAATTTGAATATGGAGTAAATCAATTTTGAAATAAGCTTATTCTTGGAATATAAGTGATGGTATATTGCTGTAGGTTTGACATTCGTTAAAAGGTTTGATCGTTATATGTCTGTTATATGTCTGCTGTATCTCCAACTACGGCATTAAATTCTAATAAAAAGTCAGTATAGAATTTCAATATTTCAAAATTCAATGCCTGCTCATGTGACTCATTATAGAGTATTCAATATGTTGTCTTGACAACGTTTGATATTTCAGTTATCATGTTATCAGGTACAATTATATTCTAATCTCCTATAGTTACCTTCCTTTCTATTCCATATACCAGCACACGGAATTTCATAGGAGGCAAAAATATTATTTGGTGCACAGGTTGTTGATCCTTAATGAATTATTGCACTATATGTAAGGTTACTATTTAGAAAAAGATAATTTCAAGTAAAGCTATAGGTCTACTATAAACAGATTGTGGCTGGTGAAAATTGAGATTTAAGATAATTGATAAGATCCTGCATGTTTCAGCACAATTTATCTTGGTTTTTTAAGAATAAAAAAAAAATTAGATTAGGATCGAAAATGGTGAATTAACTGAAAATTGAATTATTTTTAAGAGGTGACGCAACATCATGAGAAACTAGCTTTAGCTTGTAACAAGAGATAGAAAAGATGGTGTAAATCGGTCAAAAACAAATTTGGTTTCAATACTGAAGGGATTGTAAAGAGGTTTTCTAAATTTTTAATGTGTATCGCGGACACTGATAGCATCAATTTGCACCATTCCAATTTTCAATCCATGGTTCCTGCAAATCAACTGAAACTATATGGTTGATAATGTCACTATGTGATAAAGCATATTTTGCGATTAGTGACGTCATAAAACACTTAGTTTTAGTGAAATTGCAGGAACCAAAAAGGTTTTGGAATTTGGAATGGTACAAATTGATGCTATCAGTGTCTTTGATACACATAAAGAATGTAGAAAAACCTGTTAAACACCCCATAAATGCATGCATAATCAATAATATCTATGTGGACTCTTAGGGATGTGAAGTTGACGAACCCAGGTGCAGAGTGATATTAGGTTTTGCTTTTGCTTCCTAGTGACATGTGGTGTTAGTGGATCTGGAATTTGACAAAGTTTTTGGACCCAAACTTGACATTGTCTTGACATTTCTTTGTGTGTACTTGTGTGTTCAGTTAGTGCTTTCAGAGTTATTTTTATCTGATGTAAAATTGGAAACTATTTAGAATCATCAGTTATCTGTATTGTGACATTGCATGGTTGAATGACTGTATTGATCAGTTAAATGGTGGAATAAAATCTTTTATTCATTGAAAATGACAGGTCTAGACAAGTTCTAGGTGATAGGTCTTCAACTTCTGCCATCTTGATAATCAGTGCAATTTAAATCTTTGCAATCAAGAGTACGGGTAGTTTATTTGGCAATGATTAAAATGATTAAAAAAAATCTGTAACATTTTAGTGTGTCACATAGGTCCATAGTTATATCTAAGAAATCTTTCATATACTTCAATGTCAGTCATTGATTCAAGTTACCAGTGGTAGGGGAACTCTGGTATTTTCAA